TTCTATGACATGGATAAATAATTGTTCACAATATCATAAAACATGTGTTTTGATGACAACAACTGATTTTATTCAAATTATGCCAAATATTCGATATGTTCATTTAATTGTCAACAATATCAATATTGACAAGCTATTAGATATAAATAATTGGAAAGGTTTAGTAATGAGATGTCATCATTTGGAGAAAATAACATTAAAGACGATTAAAAATATATCACAAGATACACAATTAACAGAAAATATCCTGAAAATTCAACAAGAATTATCTAATGTGCGACAAAAAATCAAATTTCATGTCACATCCAAATAAATTTTATTATATTCTATCGTTCATCTTTTGAGAAAACATATCTTTTTTTATTTTGAATAAAAATCGAAGTCTATCAACATGGATAACTCATTGTAATTCCATAGACCGAATGATTTATATTTTTAAATTTTGTAATATACGTATTTGTATCTTCATATCCTGATATAATCTTGTCTATAAAAGATCAGAATGACCCATTAATCCTGCCTTTCTGTCATGTCTTTTTATAGATTTTCAATAACAAGCATCGTTTTCTGTTGAAAGTTAGTAATGATTCTTTGATCATATTGACTGGATACAATTCTGACTCATAATAATCGATTGTGACTATATGAGTTATTCTACATTGATTTATTTAGTTTGTTTATTTGTTTCGCTAAGTTTACTATTCGTACTTTCTAATCGATTATTATAATTATTTTCATCTTGCATAAATCATTTATTAAAGGATATTTTCCGGTATAGTCATATTTTCATGCACAATTTTTTTTTTCACTTTTATCTATCTGAAAGGTGTCAGGGAACCACTAATAGTATTTCCTACGGATTAGCTTTGAAAAATTTTTTGTTTAAATATCCTCAGAAGCATATCATTTATATGCAATTTTGCATGATCACCACGAATATCATATTTATGTTTTGATTGGATTGAGTTTTATATGTGAAAAGAGCATTTTACTACTAAATGGACTATACAGCCATTGCCCTATATATTAGCAACATTGATTTTTTCTTTCCAAAATATGTGAAAATATTTACTCTATCCATTCCAAGTCGATTCACTTATATAAAACAATCGATAAGCAATCAAAATGTTTCATAGAATTAGAAATATCGCACAGAAAGCCATGATTCATCATGTTATGCAACCTTAAGGCACAACAAAATGATTGAATGTCAAACAGCTATATATACTATTCAATGCAGTTTTTTATGGTGATTCCGAATATGAAAGAAATTCAACAACGTGCTAAAAATAGCTAAAAATCCTGGCAACGACCATTTTTGAGCTTTTATTTGTTCAATTTATAAACCAAAATCACATCGAATTTGAATTTAGATACTATATTCAAATTCAGCAGACAAAAACTGCATCTAATGATATGCTTGTCACAGTTTTAATAAACAACTTTTAGTCGCTCGAAAAACTCGTCTGGATTTTCCCATAGGAAAGGTTCAAAAGTCGAATGAATAAAAGCGAATCCAACTGATGCTTTTATTATCTTTTCTTACTGCTTCGAAACTTCCAGTTAGACTTTGAAGTACAGTTTGATGAATCAAAAGTCCGAGTTGAAGATACGTTCGCATGACATTTTATTATGATATTATGAGAAGGAATTATAATGTGCTATTATATAGGAACACATAACATGACTTGAAGTAATTATAAAATAGAGATAATAGGGTGCAGGTGTGGGTGCACACAAGATCAACAATTGCATCCACATCCACACTCAACTATCCCACACCGACATCTAGACTACCCATATCGCCTACAACTTATTTCATTGATTGCAAGTTGTTATTATATTAGAATCATCAATTTCAAAAATATTAGAACTGTTAAATCAATTACTGTATTATAATGATCATTTTCCTATATACAAATTCATTTTTTATGTCATTATTCTTTCGTTATTTTCTTCCAAATTTTTGTAAAAGTTTTTACAGAAATCAAATGTCCTAGATTCATAAAAAGTTATCCTGAAATATGTTAATACATAGTGTCATGGATACGTACCAGAAAATAAATATGTTAAACAAGATTTAATGTACTAATGAAAATTAAGTTTGTAATAGTATGTGAAAATCATTATACTTGAAATTGTATAGTGATTCTGCACATATACAAAGAGATAAAAATGTAATATTATGAAATGAAAATTTATACAAAATAAAATCTAGTTTTCACTCGGACTTTTGATTCGTCAGACTATAGACGAATAATCCTATCTAACTCACAGTCCTGATATACATTCAGTTTTATGAAATCATGACAAACTATGTTCTGTTTAGATATGTCTTATAGATATTTTTTCAATGATAACAAAGTTCATGACAATGCAGAATATACGAAAGATGTGCACACAATAAGAGATAAGAGTTAGGAAACAAAACGGACTCTGTCAACCTCACCAGATTCATACTCACACCTGTATCACTATTCTTCCATTACACCATCATCCAGCACCTTCATAATCATCGTGCGCATCTTTCGGGATCTTGAAAATGCACTGTGTTTATCTGTTGATTGTCACCAATCAGAATTGAAAAAGAAAGAAAAAAAGTCCAGAGCATGCCCTGTATGTCATTTTGTTTTCATATAAGCATGTTTTTATCTAAAAGAATACTTATAATCAATGACATGAGATATACGTTAATGTTGAAAGAATGATAAGAGATCTCTCCAAAGGTCAACATTCACAGTAAAAAAAAAACAAACCAATCGACAATCACATAAGTTTTTCTATACATTGACTACAAAAATAAAATTCTTTATTTTTTTAGAACTTCACTCATTGATTACAAAAGAACAAGTGATTAAAATGGTAATTAAATTCATCATTTTTATTTTGATATTGTCCTTTGAAAAACAAAACAGTTTGCACCTTTTGTAAAATTACAATCTGACTAGTTTGACTTAAAAATATCGCAGTTAGTTGTATTCACTTTATTTTAATTAGGTTAATGATGTAGATGTTAGTGGTGATGATGATGATGGTAGTGATATTAGTAATTATGACATTGATCTCATCGATCATAGTCCTTGTAAGTTATTATTCATATATAACAATAGAAAAGATAGATTTATTGATGAATTTATTTATTTATTTTCAAGTTCCTAATGATTGTCAAAATGAAGTTCAGGGTATTGAATTTCTATGCCAATATTTTATGCATCGTTACAATGCTTGTCCAACTTTTTTGATTGGTTCTCTTGAAGAAGCATGTCAAGAAGCTTTCAGTTCAATAATAATTAAAGAAGTTAGTTGAAATCTATTTTGATAATTACACTAAGATGTATTTTATTTTAGCGTCGTCCAGTTCTTGTCTACATACATCATGATAAAAACTTATTAACAAATAGATTTTGTTGGAATATACTCTGTTCAGAAATGATTATTGATTATTTACTTGAAAATTATATTGTTTGGCCATGGGATATTACATTTGAATCAAATAGAAATATGTAAGTAATTTAATATTGATTGATTAACATAGGTTTTCATCTTAATCTTATTATCGAATAAAATTTTCTTATCATTGTTTTAATTCTTCCGCTACAAAAAAAAGTTAATTTTTGTCAGAAAAGTCGAAATTGAAATAAATGCATTGAAAGATAGTCTAAAGTTTATTCTTTCATAAACGATATGAATTTGTATTTGGTATCTCGTTTTTCTTTGCCAAAATTTTCGACAATTTCTGTCACCTTCTGTTTGAATGAGAGTTCACAGAGAATTTCTGATTGTTAAATGAGATGTTCTTGTTCCTTATTTAATAAATATCTTCTGTGAATGTAATGATATAGAGCAGACAAATTAAGCATAGTCTTTATACTACAGACCCAACACATCTTAACAGTTTCATGCTTTTGAAGAGGAACCTTATATGACATATCTCTTTTCGTATTAACAAATATTTTAAATGATTTATAGATTGATAAAAATCTGGAATAAGATCTTTCCAAGTCAAACTTCGATTGATTTTTCTCTTGAACAATGTCCAATGCTTATTGGTATAATGCGAGAATCTTTATATAAAAAAGATTCGTCATCAACATCAGAATATGAATTTACAGTATTATTTAAAAATGAAACTTTGACAAGTACTGAGGAGACATTTAGTCTAAAATCAATACTCAACGAATTGTCTATATTTAAAGAAGAATGTGATGATAATGAACAAGCTTTAGTAAGTCATGGTAATTTATTTATTTATTTTTGTTTAATATTTAATAGAAATTGCTAAAAAGTTTTCATATCTACTATTAATTTCATTGTAGTCTTTCGATTTGATTCAAAAAACTAATCTTTCTTGGGAAGTTATTATTGAAATATGCAAATATCTCTCATTAAATGATGCAATTAATGCATTTTCTTCCAATATTTTATTTTTTCTACGTAAATTGAAAGCAAAAGTACATATTGTCGATATTAGTGAAACATTTATTAATACGATTCTTCGAAAAATCAAATCTAATGAAATAATTTCTTTGCGTCTGAATAGTGATGAATCGAAGTTGTATATGATATCGAACTATTTATCTTTGTTCAATAATGTGAGCTCGCTTAATCTTGTTAATCTTGAAATTATGCAACAAATCAGTGAATATGAAATATATTTTCCCAAGTTAACTTGTCTTTCCCTTTGTTATAACAATGAAATTGGTTTCAATTTATTACAAAATGTTATTTCTTATCTCCCAAAATCAATTAGACGATTTGAAATTCATTGTGCAGGTGTATTATGTACTCATTATGATTTTGATGAATTCAATATAGAATATATATACAACTTTAACATTGAATATTTTTTACTTGATATTGGTCAATTTCAATTGATTTCAGCCAAGGAATGCTATCAACATTATGAGTCATGTTTTTTGAATACAATATGTGATCTAATACAATGGATGCGCCGTATTCGATGTTTTCGTTTGATTACCAATAAATACAATGTGAAGAAATTGTTAGACATAGACTATTGGAAAATTTTTTTATATAAATGTAATTTATTGAATAAAATAATATTACAAGTGATTGGAGGTATATTAGATGATGATGAAATACAAGAAAAAGTACGGAAATTACAACTTGAATTTTATTGTATACGACCAGCAATCAAATTTCAAATTGTATACATGTAACTGATTGTATTTTATTGTTTTAATTTATATTTTTCACTAATAAATTTTCTTCGATGTTTGTTTTTTAATAGAAGAAAAGTAAAATAAAATTATACTTATGTTAAATTGATGTTTTCGAATAATACATATTTCTAAATGAATACATTCCTATTCTTCATATATTTTCATTTATTTTATATTATATGATTTGTCTGCTCTGTCTTGTTCTTGAAATTGTTATTTATTATTATATTGACATTGCCTAATTATATGATAATAAAATATGAGTCAGGTTTTCCAAAAGTACATGCGAGAAGTTAATGTCAATATCTTTTATATATTGCAAACGATTGAACTGCTTTTTTTAAAAGTAATCTGATAGTATATTGTTTGGTAAGTATGCTCTTCGCCGAAAAGTACTTTATCAAAAGTATTTTCTGGTCACCCAGGGCGCTCCAAAAGTGTGGGTGTAGGCAAAATGAGTTGGCCTCCTCTTGCTTAACAAGCTAGTATAAAAATTAAGGGGGTTCGAACAGTCTAAAGTGACAAACGAGTCTTTCGACGAAACGATGATCGGCGAAGTGCATTACATCCGACTTCATCAAAAGATATGCAGTCATAATCGGGTGTGGCTGTGGCTGTGACTGTAGGTGTAGGTCTCTTTTCATCTGTATCTTCACCCACACTCACACCCATACCCACATCCGTAGTGAGATATGCAAGAGAAGTAGTACTTAACAACGACATCGACGGCACACTGTCTGCACGTAACAATTACTATTGTCAGCGTTAATCCATTATGAAGGGGTATTATTTTCATTTTACAATGATATCTTCGATTCTACTAATGATGAGCACATGTCGTTTCTCTTGGATGTGCCCTGCAAATTGCGAGATTATATCAATTCTAAAAGACTGTCAACACTCATTAGATGCGCATACATTACTCAAGGCTTGGCATAGGTATTCTTATCAAACCAATTGAATATAACATTGTTTTTCTTGATTGATGATGTTTTAAGTAATTAGTTCATGACACCGATGGCAACTTGCAGTCACTTTTCATTACTTTATCTATCTTTCGAAAATTCAACTGACTTTGGCAAGATCACAAAAAGCAAGTCGAAAACGATAGTCAAGAATGAAGTGTCAAAAGATATCAAGACCAATTACGTAGTATCTTGTGATTTCTTCATTGTTGATACTAACATGAGGTTAGACTCATCTATTGTCATCATAGAATATTGCTCTCTACTTGATTATCAATGAGTTGAAAACTTAGAAGAGGAAGGAAGTTGACTTTCAAGCTTTATCAATATTGTCAAGTTTTTACTGAGAATATAATTCATTGTCCTTCGTTACTTCGATTTATCTAAAGAAGTACTTAGTTATCATTGGGACACACAAATTTTATTTGAATTGAATCATGAAAATAGACAAAAAACAGTAAGCGAAAATAACTGATGAAGCATATTCCGCAAAAAAGATGGTTAAAATAGTAGATGATGACGTTTGACAATCAACATATGTGTACCATATTGCCTAAAATGATAAAAGATGATCTTAGAATAGTTACATTATAAAAGAGATAACATTAGAAAGACTAAAGGAAAGTGTCAACTATTTCTGTATCAAGTTTCTGAATATTGAGAAAACAATACTTTTTTTCAGATCAGTGGTTTCCATTTTGATACGACATCTAGTGCTTTTTCTACTATTTTTCTGATTTATGTGGAAAGTCTCAGAAGAAATGAGTTTGCTCAATCACAACTTTCTGGAAACATTTGAACGTCAAGAGTTTGATATCTGATGAACCTTTCAGTTTGATCGTGTGATAGTTCAATCTTTACTCATTTGAGAAGAGAATATGTGTAAAAAGGACGGACATATTGGTTTTCGTCAATAGATGAAAATTCATTTCCATTGATTCAAAACTTCGGAAATATTTTCATTTGTAAACAGTCTTCTCTCAAAGAATTCCTATTGAAACATTTTTATTCACAATGCACACCTCAACAATATTTACTTGCAGTAGCAATAGTTATTGTCATCATTTCAACTGTAGCCATAAGCATTTGGATCGATGCAAGTACCTATAGCAGGAAGAATATTGCAATATGTTTGATCATCTCGACATCAGATATTTGCAGCCTTGGCACATGTTGCCAAAAGGACGACAAAAACGATAAAACGAATGAGTTTCATGAAGTTAATCATTGTTGAGGTTGAATTTATAGATGACTTCGTTGAGAAAGGTGCTTGATTGGTTGTTGCGACTGCTTCGATCCTTCTGATTCCTCTCTTGTAATCCTGCCATTATATACTCCTCGATCATCATGTATCAAATCTCCCATCAATCCTATTCTCTCATGTGATTGCCTAAGCAAAAAAAGAAAAAAATTCATGAGTAGAATAAAAGCTGTTGTTCTGATGGAAATATCATCGTATGTCTTGCAATAAAATAGAGCCTGTAGAACGATCCTTTCCATTTGAAGCAAATACTCCACCTCAATGGCATCCATCGATGTTTTTTTTCTCACCATCAGACCTCACAAGAGACAATCACTTCAACTTCAAGACTACACAAATTTATGCAAATGTCAGATGATCATAAAAATGGGACGCTTTGATTGGCACACAAGTGGCTCAAACCATCGACAAATATTCTCCCAAATGGAACTGTCGATACAAACTCGAGATAGAATTCTGTTATTATATCATGCTTATGAACATCATTTCATATCCTAGTCCAAGATGAACAACAAGAAAAAGACTACACCCTGTGCAATGTGTACGAATTGAGAATGAATCAGTATAAAATGCAAGAAAACGATCACTATTGCGCGATCGGTGGCAAATGGAGAAAATCGATGAATATGTGACAAAAACTAGAAATGAAAATATCTGAGAATAAAATTTAGTGCAAAAAAAATCTAGAAAAATATGGAACATATGGATAGAAAAGGGTGCGAACCACATTCACATTTTCTATGAATACAATGTCGAGCATTGAAATCTACTACAGGAGAGAACTTTTCAAATTGGCATGAAATCTCATCATTTATCATTCATCTTCTACTGATCTTCATTTACCATCAATCTTTACTTCTTAGTTATTAAAAAATAGAATTCTTTGTTATTTATTTTTTTCTCTTCATGTTATTCAATATTCACATGTATAACTGCTTGTCTCTATAGAATCTCGTTTAGTCATCTTCATAATCCTTATTTGATGCTTTCACAATAGGTTCTAGATAATCCAATTGATGATTGATGTAATTGAGTTTTGTTGACGTGAATTGAGAAGATCTATGACATGGTTCTCACTCCGCTTGAACATATAATTTTTTGGCCCAATTTAAATATTTGAGAGCTTCTTCAGCCGATAACCTGGATGCTTCATCTAGAAAATATTGTGCTAAATCTCGAACAATTCGTGTTAACATGCATTGATCATCGTCGAACATTTGAAAACTTTCAATATAATCAAGTCCCCATTCGTAATCATACCAATCACTTCTTAGTATGTAAGTATTCAATATTCTATCATAAATACCCAGGTCATACCAAAAGTAGTGAGTCCTACATCCTAATTTCTTTTTGACTGCTTGGAGAAATTTTCTTTTCATATGAACAGATAGAGCGTGTTTTGCTCTATCTTTCTATGCTATTTGATCACTGTTCAGTCGATATCATAATAATGAAATTATCATAAAAGCTGTTTTTGTGGAACTCCAAGTGGTACCAAGAGTGTATATTATTATCTCTGCATGTTTTTCTTTTCGTTTTTTTCTCTTTATTTTTCTCTTTTTCTCTTTAGAAAACACATGCTATATTCCTCTCTCTTCTTTTCGTATGTTCAGGTTATTCAAATACATTTTCTCTTTTCTGTTCTGTACCAGTCCTTCTCTTGATGGACTTTTTCATCTCTTTACTTTGGTCTGACTCATAATCTTCTGGAATTTTGTTCAGTGTCCGAGCTCCGATATATATACCTGCTACTTCAGACGAGTAATTCAGTCTTGCACTGCTTAGGCCTGTAATCACTTTGAATTGATAAACGACTTGTAACAGACAACTAAAGAAGGATTAATCTTTAGCATTATCCATTTATTGTAAATGAGTAAAGGAAATTTCCGCTTTTATACTAAAATACGCACAGCACTTAATATCCCACCAGGAGTGATTTATGATGAACAATATTCTGTCTATGGTGATCAACCTCCTTCCTATGCACCAGTTAAAAGATGGGCTAAATAGTTTCATGAAGACCGAGAAGAAGTTGAAGATGATCCACGGCCTGGCAGACATGAAAGGAAAGTAAGCAGCGGATTCGAGTATTTTCCATGACGATTCGCATGAGCGACTAAGCCACCAAAGAAAACTAGTAAGCCACCTATAACTCGACGAGCTCTATCTAATGATGTAATCAGATTCCCCAAAACTTCAATCTGTAAGCCAGAAAAACCAAAATAATCCATAAGACACATAAAGACAAATTTGCCCTTTTCGTAAAAACCATGACGATTCGCCTAAGTACATAAGCCATCCGTGAATCATATATCATTCAATGCAGAATTTCACGCTCTATCGAATGGTATATAAATCATCTTCATAAAACTGTTCTATAATGGAGACGGTTCAATGGAAACCTCGAAAACCACATTTTTGCAAGTATTACCTATGACGATTCGCCCAGAAGCTTAAGCCACCTTTGAAAACCATACCAATCAATGCCGAATCGCGAGCTCTATCGAATGGTATGCATCTTGCAAAGCTCAACATCAATTAACATGCACTTTCACCAGCAAAACCATCAAAAACTATAAACACATGCGATTTTCCTGGTAACTCTGCTGATGATTCGTTTGACTACATAAGCCACTGACGAATCATATACCATTCGATGCAGAATTCGATGCTCTATCGAATGGTATACAGCTTGCACACCTCAACATCACTCAGATGACACCTTGACCCTAAAAAGCCTAAAAACCTTGGAGATTTCTCCCATTAATTCT